AATAAAAAATTATAAATTTCTAAAAAAAATCAGATAATTATTAAATCATGTATAAATAGTGAGATGTAGGGAAAAATAATTAAAAATAAAAGAATTAAATAAGTTAAAATTTGATTTAAAAAAATATTAAATTTTTTGGAACTCGAAGCAATTCTGTTCGAGGAAATCCAAAGAAGTCTCGCATCTGGGGCCCCGTTGTAAACGAAATCCCCAGCGAGATATCGTAAATAACGCGCAAAATAGATATTCCTTAATAGATATTTGCATTTTAAACTTAATGTAAAAAATTGTTTTTGAAGTTATGTAAATAAATGAATCTTAAACTTATTCTACAATATGCTTTTTGTTTCCTGTTTTTTATTTATGTTATTTTTTACATTTTGTCTTTTTGTTTCTTATCCGGTTTTTTGTTTTATATATCGTCTGAGATAAAAGTTAACGAACTTCGAAAGAAACAAGAAATGTGTAACAAAAGAAATAAAAAATACAATTGTTGATAAAACGGTTGCAAAGGAAAAAAAAGCAAAAGATAAAAAACAAGAAACAGGAAATAAAAAGCAATTGAAAAGACTTTACATTAATTTTGAATGAATAATCATACTCGATCATTAAATTATTATTGAGGATTACATTATATGCGTATGCGGTGTGAATAAAGGTATGAGCTAAAAGTACATTTAGTGATGAATGTTTCATTTCATTAGATATTCTACTGCTATATGCACATTTGAATAAGAAAGTATTAATTTGAAAAATATTTCGAATGTGATATGTCTTTTTTAGATGAATACATTTTGACGCTAAACATGCAAAAATAATACGATCTCGTTGCTCAAGAAAATTTACTTTATAAAGAATGCTTACGAAATGAAACTTCTTCGTATCTGAGATTTGAATACCTTGAAGATCGAATACAATCCGCCGCAATACTTATGTCTCAAATAACAGCCAATTTAACAAGGAGTGAATTAACAGATATATATGAAGTAGATCAGAGTTAGTTACATTTAATCGTAAATATATTTATCTATATTGCCCGTAAGATGTTTTCTGTTGAATCATTCGTTTTTTTGTTAGTAATATTATTCGGATAGGTACTATTCAGAACTTGATGTTGTATTTAGATGTGGCGGAGGTATTCTAATCCCTAGACGCAGAATCATTTCGAGTAGTATTAAAGACATATTTTTTAAGAATTGGATTATTTCAAGTCATTATGAAGTCTAAAATAATTTTTATGAAAATATTAAAATACAAAACCTAAACAACTTTTTTAACTTGTAAATCGTTATTACAAATGCCATCAAACAAAAAAAAGAATATTATCCTGTATATTTGCTATTAGAAGTTGATCTTATGATTTTCATCTTATAGTTTACGTTTAAAAAATTACGTATAATTTCTCGAACAACGAGGTCAGTGATAATACACAGAAATATTGAGGATAGAATTCTACATCAATTTTGTAGAAATAATGGTTAGACTTACTTACTCCTCGACGATTTTTTTGCAAATAGGTCTTCAGGTGGTGCTCAAGTCTATCCTTAAGGCGATGGCGCCGCTTCTGCAAATCGGCTTGCTGGTACTTTTCGCCATCGTGATATTCGCCATTATCGGCCTCGAGTTATATTCGGGAATCCTGCATAAAACGTGTTATAAGGACAGTGAGTATATTCAGTCAATCTTCTAGAAATTTTGCCCAGCACTATTACTTATAATATTACTTGTTTTATTTTATCTATCCAATGTACTACACAAAGGATTGAAAGAAAAATCTATGAAAATTTTGAAGTACATGAAAATATAATTTATGTTTCTGATTATTTAGAAAATATATACGCTTCAATTCTTTTTCAGGCCATTCTGACGTTATAATATATAAAATGCTTTATATTATTGAACAGCAGGTGTAGAAGAGGACATACCGAGGCCATGTATCACAGGCAACAAAAATAATACCCCGTACGGGTCCCACACGTGCGTCGCGAACGTCTCGACGTGCATGGGTAACTGGGTGGGACCAAACTCGGGCATCACCAACTTCGATAACATCGGATTCGCCATGCTTACTGTCTTCCAGTGTATCACTATGGAGGGCTGGACTCCCATATTGTACTGGGTAAAGCAAGAAATATGTTCTTCAGTGTTTTTTCTCATTCTCTTTCTATTTGTTACCATGTTTCTCTATTTCTCTCTTTGCCTCTCTCTTTTTCTCGCTCGTTTTTTCTGTTTCTGTTAAAATTTTGCTCCCTCGTTATCATGCACGATTTGTCCTCGCAGTATCGTTACACAAAAGGTACGATAGCGAACATTCTCAAATCTCTGTGTTCTCGTAGAATATTGTTGCCCAGTTTGTCAATCCCCTATTAACCGCTTCGCGACTTGAATATCACATTTTTGTACTAAACTATAATTCTCTCCCTCATTAATTTACCTCTTTAGAAGACAGAGATTAACTATTTTAACTGTTTCGGTATATGTACTTTCTTTTA